TGGTGCCAAAAAGCGCTCAAAAGTACTTCTTTAAGATGCGTCACCATTTTCGTTCACCTGTTGGCCACGGCCGAGTGTTAACCGGTTGGGTCGACCCTACGCAGTCTGGGGAGACTGCAATGCTTGGCGCGGAGTTTTTTGTTACCAAGGCGTGCGAGCGTGCATGTTGAACACTACATTACATTACATATGCCACCGTTCACTTCTGACTGAATGTTGAACATATCCGGACAAACATGGCCTGGCCACATTAATACAAATTGTTGATCCATTATTGTCTTAAATCTACGTTCGCGGAATCCTTGCTATCTCTACGCAGCACAGATCAGAATTCATGCAAAGGTTCTGAGTTCTATCGGTTTAAATAGTCAACTGGACCATTGTAAAATAAATAGCGCCGATTATTTACTTCATGCAGTCATTTAACGCATTATTTTGTCTGTTTATTTACTATAAACTTAAGTCAGAATTGAGCAAGCGGTAGCGGTGGGCCTATATTCGAGTTGTGAAAGGTAAAAATTGTAATATTTACAGTGTCCTAGAACTGCCTACTTTGAGTGTAAAGCAACACCATGGGAGGAGTAATTTTTCACTCCTTTTCCCCGTATTTTACGTAATTTTGTCACTCCTGCCTGACATTGTCTAATCGCACATGCCAAACCCCTATTTGCCTTTCTGAGGCTTTCAGATGCCATCCAAAACCGAGCTCGCTTGAAACCAACAAGCATAAACGAGGCTCCACAGAACCTAAACACCTATAGCTATGTCCTGCCTCACCTACATCTGAATCATGTCGATGTATGCACAGAGCAAGGGCGCCAGGTACTTCCAAGCCCAAGGACCCCAGGGTCTCCAGCAGCTTGCACGCATTAAGTCTGGTTTGTTTACAAAATGCATCACAATCGGCACCTGTGTACCAAATGCAAGTTTTTCACGCATCCCCTATTTCTTTTTTTTGGTCTCACCACCACACTACGAAAGCAGAGCCTGGTGCAAACACCAGCAAGGCCTGGTAGAGAATTTTACCCCACGTATTTATTTTGTCTTGAGAAAACTTGACCACTAAACTGCATCACTCCCGAAAGGCAGGAGTGAAAAATTCAAGAAATGTTTTGTACATTAAATTAACCATTTATAACTTAAATTGGTCATAAAATATAACCATTTGAGCACTCGTTAAAAAATTTGAAGTAAAATGAGCTGATAACAAAATTCTTCCAGAAATGCATCAGTCTTTGTATTTATTTAACTACTTTTGTTTGTCTTGGCTTCATACCAGTGCCATACCACTTAATTCTTCCTTCCTTTCGATGACCTTTAGAGGTACCATCTGCTGCTTAAAATGTTGACTGATTTCTCTGCAAGATGCTCCAACCGCAAACTTGTGCGTATTTTGCACATAAATTTGATTAATTCGCCAGCCGTCCAAACATATTTGATGCGCACCCAAGAGTGAACAGTTCACAGGGAATGAAGGACACAATTTGAAGCACGGAACTTACTTTTTTCCGCTATTTTGCCCTGTTAAATCCTCGGTTAACCGTTTTCTTGGTTCATGTTGGTGCTCAATAATTATAAATCTAAGCCTTTTGAGTGTCTAACTCACCAAGCTACCTGACAAGGCCATCCTAATGCTGCTACATTGAGCTTTGGGACGGACCTGACGCAGCTAATACAGAAGTGTTTGATGGCGAAATTTTGCGCTATGGAGATGTATATCATGTTCGCCTCTTACGTGTTTCGCATTGTAATGTCGTAGGTTGGTGGGCATGATTGATATTTGTATTTGGGGGTGAGTGGGATGACTATCTCTGCCAGCTGAGACCATGCAAAAGGTACCGACTTTTTGTTTTGGGGGAGCAGGAAGAAGCCAGTAAGTCTCCTGTGGACCAAGTAATTGCTTACCTTACCTGCTTTCAACACATGATTGGTGACCAGAGTTAGCCATTTTCTGTTTTAATCCACCGAGTTTTGTCATAAGACAAATTATGATGCCACAAGGCACACAATGTGCCCATTTTGTTCCATATTCTTGATTATTTGCCCCAAATTTCTCGAAGTGGTCCCTCATGGCTTCTTTGACCAGATGGTTTCTGTAGTTGTCATGGTTTGCTGACTGGCAAATGACTGTACTGTACATATGCACTATGTTTTTAACACAGGGATGCTCTAACCTGCATAGCAATCATAACATGAGTTAAATATTAGTATGTAACAAATGTTCAGACCATCCCATTTAAGATGTGAAGCCAAAATCTCAAAATTTATCATTAAATATGAATAAACAGGCCTAAAGAGATGCCTTTGCTGCAGCTGAAAAGGCAAACAGCAATACTGGCAAGGTCATCTAAAAGTTATGTTACTTTTGGAGAAGAGAGATTGCTTCGTGGAGCATACACATTATTGCCCTTGACATAGGTTAACCATGGCAATCAAAATAAGATATTCAAAGTGATTTAAAGTGTTTTATTTTCTGTGTTGTCAACTCTGTCTGATGTCAACAAGCACACATAAATGAAGTGAATAAAAATGCAAGTTGAAACCAGTCAAAAATCAGCTTCATCATGTTTTCATCACAAGTGCTGCTGTCAACAAATAGATGAGTTGAGATGATGTTCAACATATGGGCTACTCAAAGTAAGGTTAAGTTGGTTAAGTGCATAGCAAGTGGCAATAGCAATTGTGCAAGAATCAATAACTCACAACTGCTGCTGTGATACAAACAGCTTAGACAGGATGAGATGAACTAAGGCCTCTTTAGGTTAGGCATAGTTAGGCTACTTTCATGGAAATAAGCATTGGTATTTTGTAAGAGACAGTGACAAAATGTTTATTTTCCCTGACCCCGTCTTAGCAGAAGCCAAAGGTATGTATATTATGCTTGACTTGGTGATGGACTGATGTGTATGAGTCCAAGGATTCTTTTGTTTTTGTTTGAGCGTTTTGTGCTTGTTGAATTTTCTGTTGTTTTTTTTTTTTTTGTTATCAAATTATTTTGCTTTGTGTTGCGTTAAATGTGCTGTGGAAGGGAAGTGCAAAGTGCAGCATCAAATTATTGGTGTGAATAATTTTTAATGCTCATTACAATGTCGTGGAATTACTATGCTTTAATGTATTCTGCTTCATTTTTATAGCCAAAGATGTTACAGAGCAAAATATTCTTGTCACGTCTCTGATATCACGACCATGCTCACTTGAGATAGATGTCTTTGTTTTCTGAAGCATCAGTCACGAGCTCGTAGGTTCCATCTTTTGTGAATTGATTTTTCACTGCCGCACGGTCTTTTTGCGATGGATTTTTTCACTCCCGCCCTAGCTCAAAAGCGATTCTAGCTCCCTGAATATATATATTTGTGTGTGTGTGTGTGTGTGTGTGTGTGTGTATGTGCGCGCGCGTGTGTGTGTGTGTGTGTGTGTGTGTGTGTGTGTGTGTGTGTGTGTGTGTGTGTGTGTGTGTGTATACACATGATACATAAGACAAACATGTCCGAAATAACAAATGAGCTATATTCGGATTTTTTGGGGAGGGGACCTATTACTACCAAGGGGCCTTTGTCAACCGTGTGCTCCCCTTTGCCAAGACTCTGGCTGCGCCCCTGAGCGAGAGAATGATAATGGTAAGCATCAGATCCGGGCTAGCGCGGGACGTAACAGCTGGCGATGCGCATCATGTTTCGATGCGGGTTAGCATCCTTTAGAAACTGGCTACATAGAGCTTTCACGCTGTCGTCGTTTTTTACATATGGAGCCGATGAGCGGGATAGCCTGACAGCATTTAGGAAATCTAATTTGAGCAGCACGTCAATGCGCACGAAAGCCAAAGCAAAATCCAACGAAAATAAATGTTGGTGGAAGAACGGACTATATTTCGGCGGGGCATGAGTACGCCGCGCACACAATACGCAACATTCGATGGAAATAGACGTTTGTGCAAGCGCGGTCATGGCAAGCAACTTGTTTGCACTAAACGCGCCTAAACAGCCCCTGGGTGAGATACCCTATGCTGCTTTGATTGGGCGCCGGTTTATTTTAATTTGCGTGGGCAGCGCCGTGTTTGCCACAAGCTGACGAAGTGCCCCGTTCTGTTTATCGGCTCCGTTATCGTGGCTGCGTCAACGTCACGGGCCCCGATTAGCCAGAGCGGGAACGGTCGTTATATGGCGCATTCGTGCCGGGGCCAGCGGCTGCAGCCGGGCGTGAAAGGCACGGTCCATTCACGTGTAATTGACGAAATCGCCTTCAAAGCACAGGACCTGCTTAGCTGCTATTGAAAATGCGCAAGGCCACGCGCCAAGTGACGATAATGTCACGTGGCCTAAGCGGACATGCCGATAGGCATCGGCCGACCATTCGGCAGTGCCCCAGCTTAAAAGGCCGCGCTATAGGCATTGACGACACTGTTCAGTCAGCCATGTCCTGCTCGTCTTTACAAAATAAACAGCGCGGTACCAAGTGTGGAGTTCGTGTTGTGTATTTCAAGCGCCCGAATGGTATCGATGCACAGTCCGGGCGTTCTGCTCATCTCAGATGCGCTCTCATGCTGACTAGCACTGTGTCCGGAAGATATCTGAGGACACTAGATCAAACGGCATGGTCAGGGCAAGTTCACACCCCTAATTGACTTGAATATGGAAGGGGGTGGGTCTGAATCTGCTGTGTGTGAAGCGGGGCAGAGGTAGCGGTCCATGTACATTGGTGCCGGCCTGTGTGAAAACTGTGCGGCGTCGAAGTGTGGTGAGTGAAAAAACTTAACTGGTGGATCGTGACACGGTAATTCTTAGGCAGGTTCACTGTTTCATCACAACCCACGGGTGCGACGGAATCTGCATCAAGCTGCCGCCCGTCGCGTGATCTGCTGCCAAAAGCCCCCCCCCCCCCCCCGCCTCCCAACACAGTCTGCCCCCCCACGCCCGTCTGTCGTCCCCCCCCCGTAGCCTTTGCCCCTCCCTGCCCCCCCCCCCCCCCCACCTGACATCCCCCACACAGTCTTATCTCCACATATTTGCGCTTCATCCCCCTCCAGGTCACGGCCTTGTATCATGTAACACACCACAGCCCTGCGTCCCCGCACCCCTCCTCTACATCCCCTCACACAGTCTTGCACGTGCCGGTAGACTCGCGATGCCTCACACCGTCCTGTGGCCGGCCCAGCCCGTCGGCGGTCGTCTCGCACCGCCCGTTGGCGCGCCGCCTTCGGCGCACCTTCACCTCACACCGTCCGTGGCCGGCCCAGACCGTCGGCGGTCGTCTCGGACCGCCCGTTGGCGCGCCGCCTTGGGCGCACCTTCACCTCACACCGTCCGTGGCCGGCCCAGACCGTCGGCGGTCGTCTCGTACCGTCCGTTGGCGCGCCGCCTTCGGCGCACCTTCACCGCCAGCACCAGCACCATCACGGCGGCGAGTGACCCCGGCACGGCCATCAGCCACCACCAGCTGGGACCGCCGCCGACTGCTGCTGCTGCCGGCGCTGACTGCGTCGGCAGCAGCCCGACGTTGCACAAGTCCGAGGTGCACGAGCACAGGTGTTTGCCGTCATCCAGCGGCTGGCAGCGGTCCCCGTTCACCTCCACCAGGTCGCCACAGGTGCGCAGCAAGCCGCTGGCTTTGGGCGTTGCTTCGCCTGCAACAGGGCCGGGCGGCAGTCATGGGTGTGCACCATCTCGCCGGCGGGGCCACGCCGCAGGCGCAGTCACACGGCCGGACCGCGCTGAGCCGGCCGGAACCCGCAGACACTGACACCGATTAGTGAGGCGTCGAGAGAAGGATACTCATCGTCATCGGATGCTGATGAGCACGGCTTTAATGACGTATGAAAAGAAAGTCAGCCCATATCTCCCATGCGGAAGTTTTGCTGTCAGTGGTATGCTTACTAATTTAACACGCGTTCGGGCGGGGGCAATTTGACCCCACCCCCCACGCGAATATTTTTCCAGAATGGTTGCTGAACGGCGCCGCGTAGCCGCACCAAATTTTTCATAGCTGTAGACAATTGAATAAAAAATCGTTTGGTAACAAAAATTTAGATGTACCTGGTAAGATCACTGACCTACGGCAGGTCAAAGTCAGACCAAAGACTCAGCGAAGACGATTTGTAGGGGAACGTTCAATCTGATGCAACAACGGAGTGTTAGAGGAAGGCATACATCTCTTAGATTGTTCCTTAAGCAATGCAACGCCTGAATTAACAAATTCCTTTGACTTAGGGACGGATACGAAGGTCAGACCAAGGTCAAAACCAGCCTGTTTTACTACTCTAGAGCTTGCCGTGTGGGGTAGTTTCTGGCACTTATTTGTAATCTATTGATAACGGGAACCGCATCATACATCTTTCATAGACTTCTCAAAGGTCAGGATAGGTCACTGACCTTAAACGAACCAGGTGGGCATTTTGTTTCTGGGAACATAATGCCTAACGTTATCTTTGACGCTTATTCAAATGCAATACTCAAGGAAGCGTTGCATGATTTTTACACCATAACCTCTGGAAGGTCAAATAAGGTCACTGCCCCTAAATGAGTACTAGTGATCTTTTGCTTAGAACAGATATCTAAATTCGGGGGCGCCATGGACACCAATCTGGAGACTGCCTTTCTTTAGCCTTATTTGACCCGAAGATAACGAGTTAGGAACCCGAAATTTTGTCACAAGTGAGTTCGCGTATAGGTCAGCACACCCTCTGAATTTAGGAACTCTGGCTTTCGGTCACTCGGGTGAGTGTTGAAGCGCGGTTTCTAAGCTAACCTGATCACTGCATCCTCGGTCGATAGGCTCTATGGCCTATATGGGCTGGGTCACAGTTAATATGAACGAGGTCAGGCTGGCACCAAACGTGCTAGTACGCTGCGAGTCGAGAAAGGATAGCGGAGCAGAAGTTATCGGCAAGCTAAACACCCTGTTTTCAATACGATCGCCGCTTTTGTAAATTTGAGGCAGGTTTGAGGTGCCTACCTGGATGAATTAGTCCAATGGATGAGTTAGTGAGATGATGATGAGTGAGATGAAACCTCGACTGGAGACGGTGTCTCGGTAATACAAGACATGATATTACGAGAGACACAACTGACATGTAATTCCGAGGTTCAGCGACCATGTGTGGTGGTGCAAAAGAATTAACATTTTACCACCTCTTAACAAAATAACTAGAAGTATTTTTGCTGAATTTTTGGTTAGAAGGGGCAGATGTTGATTGTAACTATAGATAATGTGATACAACAAAGGAGGCTGAAGGGGGCTGGTCGCTTGTCTCTCATTTGTTAGACTCACTCCCCCCCCCCCCACCCGCGAACTTTTGTCGGGCAAATCAAAATTTTCGGAAAGAAAATCGAGCTAGCTTCTCACAGAGAGGCTTAGTAAAGTAAAAATCAGTTGTTTTTCATGACGAAATTCAGAACTACTTTGGCTGTTTTGGTTTGGCTTTATTTTTTTCAGTATGTAATGTCTTTTTGGTACGATCAAGACAGCAGTTCACTTAAGTAGAAGTAAGCTGCTTTGTGGGGCCTCGTTAAAATGACACGCCGTTAGCGACGACTAACCATATGCGCGCTGTTTTGTTTATATTCAAGCTCAATATTTTACATCGCCATGTACAGTCTCAATTCACCATCACCATCTCACGCACCCCGTAAGAGGGACAAGTACAGTTCTAAGCATCTGTCACTGTCACTGACCCATGGGCGGATCAAGGATTTTATTAACAGGAGACCACTCAGCACGCGTTCGTGAAATCGACAGCAAATTCAGACTCCTATCCAGATCGATGTTTGCAACCTTGACCCGCTATGAGTCCCATACTAGTCCTCGTCTGTCTCAAATCTTATGCTTGCCATGATGAGGCTAATGTCTATTTTACGTAGCTTAGGTTTTTGCAAACATGGAAGCAGTCCGTTTCGAATGTTATGGCTATAGACCCGCTACAACTCCGTTTAATGGATGACAAGAAAAGGGCCCACGGGAACTTACGCGCCGGTCTCAGTTTTGCGCTCATGACGATCAAAAGGTCACCCGAAATCTGTGCTGCCAATCTGACGACCGAACGCGCGTCGTAGTGCCAGGATGGCGACATTTGGTCGACTTAACATGCGGGGCATTGCAGGTACTGCGTGAAAATCTGACGTCCTTCACACAACAGGCAAAACAGTTATCACTTAACGTCTTTCTTAACGACCGGCGTCAGATTTGGTAGGAAAGCGACGGGCCCAGCCGGTCGAAACAGGAGGGAGAGCGAAACCATCTGCGCCTCTCATTCGGCCACGCCCTGTCAGGCACGGTGGCGACAAATCGCGGCGCGAGGTGCCGCTTGCTTTGGGTCACGAGCTGACCAAACGACTTCAGAGGCCTGGACAAAAGGTGTTTAGTTCAATGATATCACAGTTAACACAAAACATTAAACATTGTACAATTAAACAAGTAACAACTGTGATAACATATCACAGTAATCACAGTAAATCCGGGGTTCTCCAATCTGCTGGCGCACTGGGGCCACTACGCGGCCCACTGTAAACACCCTTTTTATCAATTTATTATTCTTAAACACCCCTATCCGTGGAGAGGCAGAGTGACTAGCCGTCGTGTGGAGACGGTAGGAGAGTGTGGGGAGGGAGGAGATGATTGAAGTAAGAGAAGGGAAACCGGGTTTGGGGGGGGGGCTGTTGTATCGAAGTAACCAGTGTGCATTAAGACCAGAAGGTTGTCGCACACCCCAAGGCACTTCCCGTCGAAAGCCAATTGTGCGATTGCATTGTGTATGTACAGGCAAACTAAAGATAAGGCTGTAGTATTAGCCTTATTCCTCGGATAAAAACCAGGAGAATGGAGATATAGTTGGGTTGATATTTCAGCGATATGCCTTTGTCGAAGCAATAGCGGAAGTGAATATTTACTACTATTCATTAAGAGTGGGTGATTCAAAAGCACGATCCGTAGTAGAAAAGACAAAGTGATGAAGGCTGTTTAATGTGGATCAAAAATCGAATCAAATGCAATTGGAATAAGAATATGAAATCGGATCAAATTTGCTGTTGATGTGAGGTCAGATTGATGTTAATTGCGTCGTAGCCGGATGTGGAAGGCTGTGATGGCAGTTTATCTTTTCAATGGACCGTGGCCGCGATTCATAACTAAATGTACCTGAAAAAGTACAATGTTTGTACTAGATCGCCTTGATTATGCGTGAAAGAAAAAATGAAGAGCAAAAATTGTAATTAAAAAACACGAGAATGTAAAAATATAACATATTTAAAGGCTTTCTACCCATGTATATGAAACTGAAATGTGCAATCAGCTGAAAACGTTTGACGCAAAACAGGTGATTGCCCGTTTTGCCTTTACGGAGCGGCTTATTAGTCATGTTTTTGTTTTTGCATACTCATTCGGTCATTCACACGGGCATCAGTTACAAAGTTACTTGAATCACGCCTGATCCCGCCCATTCATGCCTTATTGGTGTGGTTACTTATGTATTGGACTGCTACTGTTTATGACAAAAATAAGTTAAAAAAGAAATGACCCAACTTTTTGACGTATAGAGTAATAGGTCAAGTGATATTTTTCACATTTGACATCCCAAGGTCACATGTTGAAATCAATAATCGATATCTGAATAGCATGAATGGCCTTTCTCACCAAATTTCAGAATGAAATTGCCACAACTCGTGGATAAAAAAGGGCGGGCAGACTTTGCAAGGTATTTTTGGTTTGTCCTCCCTGCCCCACCGTTTGAAATCGTTCCTACACTTCTCATTGTGATAGATCTTAACTTTGCCTATGCCAACATGAACGATAAGGTGATAACACTAACACCGGAGCGTCCTTCAATGCAACATCTCCTCTAAATGATTAAGTTATAAATACTAACGCTCACGGCAATACTCAACATTTTCGCTGTGCATGGGGCTTAGAAGTTAGCCTGCAATGTTGCGCCTCAGATGGATAATACAGGAAGCACAAATAAAGTTCACAGCTTGCGCACCAACCAAATGGATCAGTTAAATGCGCAGAGACCACCGGAAAGCAAACGCCTGCTGCGATTTAGGAAACGCGGGTAGCTGGACAATAGAGCCAGCCGGTCGGTTCCCACGAAAGCTCCGGGCTGAGGTGGGCTGCAAGTGCAACACACATAGAAGGTAGCAGGGGCCCCCTCGTGCCCTCCGAGACCCCCGCGGTGTTCATAACACGTCCGGCAGCAGTGCATGACTAGCCGCAATCGACCGGCACAGGGGTGTGACTTTTTGAAGAATGGCTTTCATGAACAAATTTTAGCTTTTGAAATCATTCTTCTATGCATCGTAGTATGTACATTGTCTCCTCAGCCAGGTGCATTTCTTCTTCCAACTATCCAAGACGTTTGCAGTTCCAGAAGTCAAACTCTGGTCTTGGCTTCTTGTAGCTTCGCAGTCCACTAGCATGCCATCCTTGACTGGCGATCCCTGACATCGCGACATCCCTGACACGCCTGCCCTGACATCCCGCGTGCCATTCCGGACGTCAGCCCCATCCCTGACTGCCGATAGGCGATACGTCTGTCGACGCCTCCCGACACTCACCATCCGGAGGACTGTAGATGAGCTCCTCGATACAGGTGTCGTTGCACTCGGTTGTGAAGCCCGGCAGGCCGGGCTGGTACCGCTCGCAGAGAGACCAGTTCAATTCGTTGTAGCCGGTCCCGGTGTAGGTGGGCACGCATTGGATGCATCGCAGGCAATGACCTGAGGCGCGGGTCAGGTCAGGTCAGTCAGCGCTCTGGACGGAACACTTCCCCGCCCGAGGTCACTCGTCTCACCTGCCTGCCCGCCGGGATATCGATCAGCTTCACTGGTTATTTGCCGCACCTGCCGAACACAAGTGAGGAGGATATGGACGAGCCTTGCCTGGTAGGAAGAAGTCTCCACTGTCGCTTGGCGCAGAATTACTTTACAATGTCGGTTTTGGCGTCAGTCTGGCTGACAAATATGCCATTTCTAATTCGTGAAAAAAGCCAAGGAATAGTGTAGGCATATATGTTCTTACTTTATGCTTCGCGCGTCACCCGTTCGAGATCGGTGAGGCTTCCCCAGCGGAGAGTGTGACGGCAAGCGATCCGGTCATGGCCAGCGATTCTCCCGCCTAACCAAACACGACTGTGAGGGCTAGCGAGGCCTGAGAGCTGAATGCTGACCCGTCTGACGCCCTGGCCGATCGGCCCGCGTTGTTGACCGGATCTGCGAGGAAAACAGTGTGTGTCGCCCGGCCATGTGAGGTAGGCCGCCGTTCTCGCCCTGGAACGGCCAGGATGGTGGCTTCTTCTGCCGAAATGACTATCACGGCAAAGCGGAACGCCTGCCCTTCGCCGGCCGATCAAAGACATGAAGATATGTGCCGCTTCGCCCCAAGAACCCCAGCGCGCCGGCGCCGCCGTCACCACGGGTGGCGTCAGACACGCCACGCCACATAGGAACTGGGCCAGAGGGGGACGCGCAGGCCCCGCCCGAGGCGAGAGCGGGCAAGCCTTACGTCGTCACTAGCGACGCCACGCCCGAGATCTGGCTCATGGGGCACGTTAGGGGCCGGACTCTAGAAGCAGCGCGGGCCGGCCAGGCATCGCATTGGGCGGCGGGGGCGAGGCGACAAAACTATCGGACCACGCAAGAGAACGAGGGCGGGCTGAGCCAGTTGGAAGGGTCTACCAGGAAAGCCAGGGGGAGTCTCTCAGGAGAGGTCAAGGTAGGGAGTCCCGGCGAGGATCTGGAGAAGAGAGCTACAATGAGTCTTTCAGAGGAGTCCGGAGTAGGCGCAGGAGGAAAGAGGATTCTCCAGCGAGTCCCGAGGAGTGAGGAGCATGGGGAGAAGTGGTGGTGACAACCTGGTGGCGACATTTGACTCTGCAGACAACGGATACCGGCGACAACATATATGTGTAGGTCCACAGGCTGCCCACTCCATCCTCACTGGGCCATGGACGGCTGGCGCCCCGTGTCCCTTGACCCCTCCCCACCGGGCGGGCGCCGGCCACGGTCACCCGTTCCCTCCCGTGTAGTTAGGAGGGGGAGGGGGGGGGGGGCACTGGTCATGCGACCCTCCCAGCCGAGCAATGTCTCACGGGTGCTTTCCAGTTTAAGGAAAGGGTGAATGACGTCACAAGTGGTTCTTCTATGTCTTAGTGATGTTTTTTTGTGAATACAAGCGGCAGCCTACGTTTAAAATGGTCTAGCACGGAAGCGAGGCTGGAAGTCATTCGGCCAGGCGGTGACGGGGCACTTGCGCCCAGCGTGAGTGGGCACGGTGTCCGAGGCCCATGACGCGCGCTTCGGCGCGGCGGCTCGCCCTTTGCCCCGCGCCGAGGCTTTCTTGATTTCCTGTCCATAGAAGCGGCCCGTGGAGGCGCAGCGGCTTGTCATGGTTCTTATCTGTCCCGCGTCGCGGCCAGGCGCGGCGCATAGGCCACAACGCCATATCCATGAAGGGTTCCCTTTTTGCTGTGGCGTTGGCCTGTTGGCTTGCTGGCCGGTTTGACTGGTCTCTTTCCCTTCATTCGTTTTCCAATTGCTCAGGGCGGCGGAACCCTTGCGGAACCCTGTCCAACATACCCGCAAGGATTTCACCATATGCGCGCTGCCTTTCCTTTATCGCTGGCCCGACTCGATTCAGTAACCAAATTTTGCATGACATTCAGGCACGTGCATTTGTTTTTCTGTTGTTTTTGGGCTTAGTGGTTGATTGCCTTGTTTAAGCGGAACAATTTGCTTCGGAATCGACGAGTCAACTTCCGCCGGGCCGTTAGACCTTCGTCCGATACGCGACACGCCGTCCTTTCCCGAAAATCGAGTTGTATGGGAACCGTAACCGAAGGATGACAGGCGCGGGACGTGCCCGAGCAGCACGGCTTGACTATGGCAGGGCTGATGGGCCAGACGACCGCAGTCCTACTTTTACGCAGGTGGACGTTTGTAGGTAGCGCGACTGAGAGGCGCGGTTTCGCCCCTTTTTTACTAAGAGGCGGTTGACTTGTTTTGATGCTTCTCACTTGAACACAGGCGTGACGGCATAAAGAGGCATAGGTCACGGTATGACCCGGGGTCTATCCGTTGGTGTGCTATGCCTTGAAAGAGAACCGGACACGGTCTGCTCTCTTCCAACGTTGTGCACGCCAAACTTTATGAGCGGTTGATGGCGGGATGTTCAGGACGGATAGAGATCCCGCCATCAACGCTCACAAGAGGGGCGACGAGAAGCCAGGTCGTCGGTCAGGCCGGTCAGGCCGAGTCTCCAGAGCACGCCGGCCGAGGAAGCCGTAGGGCGTGAACGCAGGTCATGCCGGGCGCTAGTCATCTGCCGAGGGGCTCCACCATTCCATCGGGCGCGCTATCTACCTCCCGGCCTCTGAAGGACGCGTCATGGGGCAGTGCCTTGCAAAGCTCGCTTCGGCAGGCGGGAGGCGATGACGCAGAAGTGCCGGAAGCGACGCCTTCGTGCTGGACGAGGCGCTGCCTTAGGCACGTGCGTGGCAGCGGAAAGCTGCGAGCGGCGGAAGTGGCCAAATGAATAATAGGTCGCCCTCCGTGGACGGAATGCGGGAAGCGTCGTCCGAACAGGGAGTGATCACCCTGGAGGTCAGGCGAGGGAACGAGTCGCCACCCAGCTTCGGACGCCTGATGTCGGCCCGGTATGATGTCAGATGTCAGACACCTGATGTCGGCACTTCTGCGTCGGTGCTGAGCTGACAAATGAACATGAGAAATTTTAGATATGCAGAAGCGTAGCTTTATTAAATGTTTGAAATGTGACAAATAAATTAAAGTTAGATTAACGAGGGCTCACGCAAACGAGCCAATTATGCCAAGTGCCAATAATGCCAAAGCGATGGATAAAGGGGGGGGGGGGCGTGGTCCCATCTGCGCGCGAGCCAAGAATGAGTGGGGTGACGTGGGCACCAGCGCATGTGTATGCTTGGAGTGAGCGTGGTCGGGCGCCGAATGCATGGAGTCTGCGTGGATTAGTTAAGGCCGAGGGGGCTCCCAGGGTTGTTTTCCAGCGAGCCCTTGCCAATGTAATTCGTCAGTTGCGTGGACCCTTGCCAGTTGGACGTATTATCAATGCCTTTGGTTCCGCTTTTGCCCCGTTTGAATATTGTTGCAAGCTAAAAAGATGGATGTGGGGTACCGCGGTGAAGGGCGCACAGCCGTGCACGGTGAGACAGCCGTTCATGGTGCCTGACCGGACCCGCCAACCCCCCAATGCCCCGGTCGCCCATTTAATCCCAGCTCTGTGGCTGACATGAGTGTGTGTCTATGTTGGGCGTACCGGGGTCACGACGTGCCGAGTCATGCGCTAACATCACCTGGCTTTTATGCTGACCAATGGGCTCCTCATGATAAATTCGCTCTTGTGGGGAGGCGTGACAGCGGCAGTCGGCGGCGCACACCCAGCGACGGTCCGGCGCGGCGCGCGCGCACGCCGCCCACCACAGAACTCCCCCCTACCACATCGGCAATTCGGTGCAGCCATGCTGGCCTTAATCCTCGTTGATAGATATCCACACATTGGTGCTAATTTTGACAGAGCTTTGGGATCAGTTCATGCGTCGTAGCGGGTTATGACGCGAAGCTGGTTGCATATGCGAGGCCAGCGTATAATGAGTGGTGCTTCCGCCATCGAGCTTATCCCCATGCCAGTGCCTATGAACGCAGGTGTGCAGTTTGCTTTTCAATTGGGAGATGCAGCGCCCCCCCCCACCCCCCCATTTTTAAAGGATAGTTGTTCAAAGCCGGTAAAACACGTTTTATAGCGAATATTCGCAAAGCTTTGGCTATTTTTGCCACCTCAGCCCCCAATTTCGTTCCACAAGGGTATTTGAGCTACGAGCCCTTCGGCCACGTGTTTTAGTCAGAGTGTTTGTTACGAACAGCTTGTCGAAAATGTGCCCTTTATAAGTAAACGCGTATTTTTAACTAGATCCTGCTTTCAAGTCCAGCCAAAAATTTCAAAAGGCTCCAAGCCCAAAGATGGGTCTAAGCGGCAGTTGACCCCTCAAAAACTCCATTTATTTGCATTCGATCTATTTCAGTGCCCTGTCATCAGACCGCTGATTGGTTGTCGCTGTTGCGCGAACAATTAATTTTGGTCCCTTTCATCCTAAGCAAAATTATCTCCCAGTGTAGGACGCCCCCCCCCCCCCTCCCTCCCCACCCAGAACTCCCGGCGTCACAGTGTGTGAGCGTGTGTGAGTACGCGCGTGCAGGCCGTGGCTGTTGACCCGTGAGAGTCTGCGAGTGCCAGCGATTTATTTTAGTGTATAAATGCTGTAGAAAAGTTTTAAACAACTGTCAGAAATGGAAAGTCCTTCGTCTCAGCGCTCTCCAACAGTGGCTGCATGGTGGCAGCCATATGCAAGGTAAAGGCGATGAATTTTAAGAGGCCTAACGGCACGCTGATCGCAAGCAAGCCTAAGAAATATTAAGCAAGATTTTGTTGTCTTGTTGTGCTGGAAACGTCTCCCTATGATAGCGATTTCGCATTTCCTTTTGTCTTGTGATCACTGTTTTTTTTTAAGTGTTCTCCCATATTTGAGACAGCTAGTAAGCCTGCATCACGATAAGTTGGAAAAAGTTTAATGTTTACGTTCAGCAGGAATTGGCGACCCTTTTCATTTCGTTGGGGTCGTCATCTGAATTCAAACTTTGTACACATAAGACAATGGCACCCAACCAACCAGATAGAGGAGTTTTAACTA